AAATGACTAATTTGAGAAAATGTTAGGAAAAAGAAGCAGTCTTTTAAAAAGGTCTCAGAAAAAATGTAAGTATTGGTGACGGGGAAAATGAGGGGAAAATGCACAGAACAATGAAAATTACGTCTTGAAAAAATGAATTTACAAATAATAAGAAAGTGTGTGTGTGTGTGTGTGCGTCTGTGTGTGTGTGTGTGTGTGTGTGTGTGTGAGAGAGAGAGAGAGAGAGAGTGATGCTATATATGATAATTGGGGTTGCTGACATTTTTCCTGTTGTTACACTTTTCAAAATCAGTATTCTAATGTTTGTTCAAAGAAATACTGAATTTGGCAAGTGTATCGAATATGAAAAGCGGGGTTTGTAATTCTCATAAATATTTGAGTTTACGTAAAAGAAAACTGTTTAGGTTATTCAATCACGCAGTGAGAAAAAACAACGTAAAATCATTATATATATATATATATATATATATATATATATATATATATATATATATATATATATATATATATAAAGAAAATAGTCTTAAGGTGTGCTATATTTAGAAGGATAAAGTGCTCAATATCCGAGATTGAGCGTGAGTAGATATAAAAATGAACATAGAAGTCAACACTTAGAGGCGACAGTCTGTTTCATCCTAGATGCAATCGTCAGGCCCATATCTATCTATCTATCTATCTATCTATCTATTTATATATATATATATATATATATATATATATATATATATATACATAGTACAGGTAATAAATACATTGGTATATGATCCAAGTTGATCCTAATAATATAAAATATTAAAACTTATCGTCAAAAAGAGCTCAATGTATTATAGCAGAGCATATAAATTACATAACAAAGAAAAGCCAAAATTACCTCATGATTATAGACTATTTCAACTAACGTTGACTGCGTCAGCCTTATTCAACTCATATAATAATATCTCTTAAAAACATTAATGTTCACGGTTGAATTAGACCGGGAATCAGTAGCAGTAAAAAAATGATCAATACACATATAAAAAGATAAGAATTTAACATGTAGAACTTTTAAGTATAAAAAATTAAAAAAATCAGCCGATTCCTCTACCTTGGTTTCAAGCGATTTCGGTCAGTATATATATATATATATATATATATATATATATATATATATATACAAACATGTTTGGTTAAATGATTTAAATATATGATGTCGATTAGTTTTTGTTGTGATCCCTAAATCCTTGAAGCCATTTATATAAGAGAATTAAAGTTCAAAATAAATTAAGTCAATTTAATATACATGTATATATATATATATATATATATATATATATATATATATATATATATCAGGAGAGAGAGATGGAGTGAAAGGAGAAAGATGGATGGAGACTGGAAAAGGTGTTTCTATCGATAGATAGATAGGAAGCGAGAGAGAGAGAGACAGAGAGAGAGAGAGCAAAAAGTACGTAGAGCGAGATATGAGTAGAAAGATATCTGGAGAGTGAGTGGGAAAACGGAGAGAGAACGAAAGAAAGAGAGAGTGAGAGAGAGAGAGAGAGAGAGAGAGAGAGAGAGAGAGAGAACGGAGAAACCCGGATAGAGGACGAAGATTTCAAAGGGATTGATGAATGTCCTTTGGACTTTCAGCTTTTGATCTCTCGAATTAAACAAACGATCAAGTGGATCTTTGCTCAGAGGAGCGGAAAGCACGTCACGAACGAGCATCTGAGTCTTTTGATATATTAAGAGGTTAGATTCAACGACCAAAACCCACCTTATCTGAAATGACGTAACAATTTGAAAATGGCATTAATTTCCTAGTCCAAAAAAAAAACATGATATTTTGAAAAAAGCTTTTAAATTTTTTAGCCTTTACTTGAAGTTTCGTCTCCATCATTGTGGCTTATCAACAGTGAAGTTGGCTTAATGAGTCAGATATCTAGATTTATAATACGAATTCTGATGAACAGAGCGCGTAGTTGAATTAGACTGAAAAATACGGAAACAATAGCGTCGCTTTGTTAAAGTCAATTGAACAAAAAATGCAAAATATAAAATCGCAATCAGAGAAAAATATAGATGCCGTAAAATTTATACCTATGTGTCACAGACGACGCAAATTCAAATTTTTTAATCATTTCACCCCAAGCAAGGCAGTAGAAACACTAAGACGCAAGGGGGTTACTGAGTGTTAGAGAATCCAAGAAAATATACTATTAAGTAGAAAGACCAATAAAGGAACAAAAATAAAGTAAACAAAACATAACCATTGACATTGCATTTAAATTTTTCAAGATCAAGGTTCAAAGGAGAGCAAGAAGGCGGAAGTGAGTTTCACAAGAAGAAACTGTTAGCATAGAATTTACCGATATATCTACGCATTATATTGTTGAAATCTCTATATATAAAAGGCAGGATGTGCGTGTGTGTCAATGTGTGTGTGTGTGTGTGTGTGTGTGTGTAACGAATGCACGGCCGCAATTTTCGACGGAGTTTTGCACCAAAATTATATGCACATATCCAAGTTAGCGGGAAGGCCAAGACCGACTTTGCATTCATAACTCACATCGATAGTGGAAATAATCGATTTTTTCATGCTTCTACGGCAGTTCTCATGTAGTACGACGGTCATTTTGTATTGACCAGAGTGAGAGCCTATAGTTGGCTGCCATTGAATAGGCAGAAAGATTCTATTGGCCAGCGTGAGAGCCAACAGCTGACTGACACGAATGTTAACTAGCATGCTAGCATGTAAAAACAAATCGATAGCTGCATTTCGTCACAAGTGGGAAAAATTTAAATCTGCATGGCACTTTACGTCCAATTGGCTCATTCGCTTGCTTAAACTCAACGTTGATTCTATGATTCCACAGAACTTTGGGTAAAAAAATTATTTGATGTTTTTTTTTTCATTCGGTTTTTCCAGTTATGAGTCCTTTTTGAAAGCTGATCGTTTTGTGTTCATTTTGTTTAGTTCTTTTTTCGTAACAGAGTTAATGTTTAGTATAGAGCTTAGAAAAAATTCGCAGTGTGCGATAGCCAAGAAGTAAGCCATGTAGCAACATCAGCACGGCAAGGGTACTCCTTTAAAGGCAAGGAAGGGCAAAAATATTTTAAGTCAAGTGATAGTGATTGCTGTATGACTCGTACGATTTTTGAATCAAGCACGGGCAACGCCAGGCCATGCTGCTAGTCGTTAGATATAACAGTAAATTTTCTGCCAACAGTTTCTTCACAGAATGAATTTGATGAGAAGAGACACACTTGTCTTTTTTCTTTTTTTTTTAAGCGTTTCACCCCAAGCAAGGCGGGAAGCCACTAGCACGCAAGGGCTTACAGAGAGTGGGAGCTAGAGCAGATAGGAATGATAGAGGAAAGGATGAAGAGAAAGATAGGGGATAGATCAACTCATCTGGAGACGTCGATTGGCATTACATTTGAATAGTTGAAGATTATAGCTATCAGGGAAACAGGAAGAGGCGGAGTTCCTCAGGCGAGAGGTTCGAGACATGAAGCTATTGGAGTAGAAGAGACGGGTACATTTAACAGTTTCGACAGTGATAGGGTGAGAGCGAGATGCCAGCCTAATAGAACGCTTAAATTCATGATGTTTTGGAACCAGGGAAAGCAGCTCCTCAGAGCAGTTACTATGAAAGTATTTGTACAGTGTAACCCGGATATAAGAGAGTTGTCGGGACCGGAGAAGAATTCTCTTATATCCGGGTTTCTCTTATATCTGGGTTTGGTCTATTTTGTTTAGGTAAGTAAGGCTCTAATTTGGGACCGGGAAAAATCTCTTTATATCCGGGTTTCTCTTATATCCGGCTCTCTTATATCCGGGTTACACTTTATAAATGATTTTTATACATTTCCAAATTCATTTTATATCATTTTGCATGTAGTTTGTCCCCGGTTGATATTCTGGATTATTCTAATATAAATCTCAAATAAATAACGGCTTTCTAGCAGTTAACATAGACCTTTGTATTGTACATATAATCCAGAGATGTTAATTTATGTACAATACAAAGTGTATACGTTACAATAAAAATCCACTGGTATCTCGTTTCCAGTCTCTTTTTCTATAAATACTTTCATGGTAATAATCCCACTATGATAGCTAAACTTTATTCATCTTTGCGCACTTCTTTAGATTGGCAGCTTGGGAGGGGGGGTTCATTCATCTTCCAATCACGTTGTTTGACGTTAGAAATTTAGAAAAAATGCGCTGTACCAAATAAGAGAAATCACTTCACTTTCACAAAATAAAATAGATCCCACTTATAACTTTAATGACATTGGGACAATCAAGATGTTAGCATTCCATACGACTTCAAACAAAAAGTTATGAAGGAAATCCTCATCAATACTGAAAACAGAAATAAGAGTTACTGAACTTGAGAAAGTTGTTTACCTAACATAATGGTTAAAAAAAAAAACAGTTCATAAATTTCAACCAAAAGTAGCACTGACTGCTCGGTCAATAAATGCGGAATGTTTCCTTATAAGGAAACGGCTGATATTGCCATTACGATCACCATTCACATAATAAAAGTTGAAATCTTCCCCGTTGTGAGGCCTGGGCATTATGATAAGCATAGCTATACTTATATTTAGCACAAGAATAGTAATTCTTAGTTTTATGATATGGCGCTATTAGTTTAATGTGTGAACGAGATGCTTGTCAAAAAAGTCCAGAACTAGAGTATTTCAATGAAGCCGTTAGAGCAACACCCACTAATCTTATTCAGTTAGATTCGATGAGAAGGTGGATATGGAATATGATCTCCAAGAGCCCGGCACGCTTCTGCGAATTTGTGATCTGTCTCTTTCGAAGAGGAAAGATGTCTGGGTTAAGTTATATGCAGAATTTTATTTACGAATGACAGTCTACAGAGCGATTGAAAGATCGGGGGAGTGCCCTGAAATTGATATTTAAAGACCAGAATTAGCAGAGGAGATGACAGAAGACATTTATAAACTGCACGAACGGGATAAAATGTCAGAATGTGTAGAAAATGGAGGGGAACGTTCGAAATCTTTCTCTCATACACATAAACCTGATACGCTTATGTGTCATAATAGTTTATCTATCTATCTATCTATCTATCTATCTATCTATCTATCTATCTATCTATCTATCTATCTATCTATCTTATTCCCGTATGTTCCTATCTATCTATCTATCTAATTCCTGTATTTTTTTCCCTTCCTATCTATCTATCTATCTATCTATCTATCTATCTATCTATCTATCTAATTCCTATCTATTTTCCTTTCCTATCCTATCCTATCTATCTATCTATCTATCTATCTATGTTGGTGTAGTTATATTAATATATCTTTGTCTATTCATATCCGTCTATCTACTTTTGGCCTACACATATCTATCTATCTATCTATCTATCTATCTATTATCTATCTATCTATGTTGGTGTAGTTATATTAATATATCTTTGTCTATTCATATCCGTCTATCTACTTTGGCCTACACATATCTATCTATCTATCTATCTATCTATCTATCTATCTATCTATGTTGGTGTAGTTATATTAATATATCTTTGTCTATTCATATCCGTCTATCTACTTTGGCCTACACATATCTATCTATCTATCTATCTATCTATCTATCTATCTATCTATGTTGGTGTAGTTATATTAATATATCTTTGTCTATTCATATCCGTCTATCTACTTTTGGCCTACACACATATCTATCTATCTATCTATCTATCTATCTATCTATCTATCTATGTTGGTGTAGTTATATTAATATATCTTTGTCTATTCATATCCGTCTATCTACTTTGGCCTACACATATCTATCTATCTATCTATCTATCTATCTATCTATCTATCTATCTATCTATCTATCTATCGTTCGTTCACTATCTATTTATCTCTTTATATATATATATTTATATACATTTAAGCAGCAGAACTTCATTGAAACATATTAAACGTATTAGAATATAATTATAAATATGGATATTTATTTGTTATACTGCTCACAACAAAATTCAAATTATATCACAGTTACAGTAAGTTTTCCTTTGCAATTTACCCCTGAGGTGGGAGATCAAAAGTACTTGTGTAGCAAAAAAGTACGGCGCCTTCCCTGATGCATTTCATCTTAACATCAAGAACAGGAAAGGATCAGTTTAAGAATTTATGAATAAATAGACATAATATGCATATATTATTCAATAATACATACACACACATACACCCACACACACACACACACACACACACACATATATATATATATATATATATATAGTAAACCTAAAGAGCAAGAGAAAACTACCAAAGTTTCACCTACGCGGATGGTCAGGACGGACTGACGATCCCCGTAAGTGAAACCTAGATAGGTTTGTCTGGCTCTTTAGGTTTACTTATTTTGCTCTACTTGGGGTATTGAGCACTTTGCTTAATTATTTTTACTTTACTCGTGTCGGAGGTTTTTTTCTTTGGACTCAGAACTTAGATTCTAGACGATTATTTTCGCCGGAAGTACATGTTATTAGTTCTTTCTTTTTGTTTTTTCCCCCTTGGTTATTGGTTTGTTCATTTACAAGCTAAAACACCTAAAGTTTTGCCAGACAGTATAGCTGCTTATATTTATAAGATTAGTGTTATATATATATATATATATATATATATATATATATATATATATATATATATATATATATATATATCATTCATTTTCTATCTATTTATCTCAGTTTCTTCGTCACTATCTACCGAAAGAAAGGAAAAAAAGAAACAATAAATGAATGAATGAAAGGTTTAATGCTTTGCATATAAAATGCACACAAAAATAACAAACGAAAGATGTAACTGAAAAGAGAAAATAGTATTAATAATGGTTGTAACAAAAATACTTTTACAAAATTTGGGGAGGGTTTCTTAAACCAAAACAAAGACAAAGGTTCATATATGTCCCCAAATCCTTCGTTTTTGCGTTATTAAGTTTAAAGGGATTTTACGGTATCAAACGCTGTGCGGACATCTAGACTAGGTTACATTTGTTATTCGTGTATATTTGTGTCTATTGTCTTCAACGTTGAACATGTATACTAGCCAGTTAACTGAGAAGTGTCCCGTTTAATAATCTTATTGTGAACAGGCAGATATAATTTTTACAGACGGCCGCATAAATAGTAATGGACGCAATGGTTGACATCTATCATAAAAAGATGGTTAGGTAGGGGAGGACAGGTTTCGTGGCCAGCGCGTTCCCTGACCTCCATCCTTTGGATTTTTATATGTGGGGCCACCCAAAAATTGGTTTATGCAGCGGACATTTATAATGTAGAGATGCTTCAACAGCGACACCGTGTGGTAGTATTTGAAACGGTTCGTCAGTCAGTGATCCGACGGTTGCATACCTGTGTAGAAGCAAGCCGAGGACATTTTGAACATTTTTAATGAGTTGCTGTGTTGAGTTACAACGATGACCTTTTGGTCATGTTTATATGGACATTTGACCTTGTTTTAGGTGTCAGGAACCCGATTCCGAATTTTGCCAAATTTTTTTTGTATTCTATCTTGAACTAGCTGGCCGATCAGAAAAAGCGTTCAATTAGAAGGGAGCAAAAACAGCATCGTGTGTAGATGTAACAGATTCTATCTTTTTCAATTACTTTAAAGCACTTTCATTAAAATCATTTTGAATTAATATAGTTACTGATATAACAGAAGTAGTATGTATTTATTCAATTATTCAATTTAGCCGAGGATATGAAGGGTTAAAACAGGCAATATGAAGACCCACTTCAGACCACAATTATTTTGGAGTTTTTGAAATTTAATTTGTCATTGTGCTACCATATATTTAAAAAAAAGAACACATTTATAAAGCAATTGTTAAGTCTGATGAAAATTGGTTGAAAGATCAACGAAAAATAAAAAAGAAACCAGTAAAAATCGCCATTTTTCGCAATTTACGCGGGTTTTTACTATATGGGCTCAATTTTCAAGTTAAATGACTGTCAAACAATCAACTTATTGTTGGCTACAATTGAGTGAAGTTTGTATTAGATTGCTTGAAAATTGAAGGATTTTTTAGTTTAAAATTTGTGTTGAAATCTATTTTTCGTTTTTCGCGGTTTTTCGCTAAACTCAGTAGCGTAGAAATAAAAATGAGGTATCGTTGGGCTCGTCATGAAATAAGTAACCTACATACCGAGTCTACACAGACTGGCCAAGTTTGATCAAAATCGGTTAGATGGATCTCGAGTGAAAAGACAGGCACACAGACATTCTCTGTTTTATATTGCACATTTAGCAGTGTCTATCGTAATCTTTAAACTTCTTTCTTTCTTTTTATGTGCCATATTCTTTCAGGACGTAGGCGATCATGGCTCTCCACATCCCTTTATCCATTGCAGCTCTCAAGAATTTGCTTCCCTCTGCTTCCTCCGCTCGACCACGTTCTGTAATTCACTCCACCTTGTGTATCATGCGTTGTTTTCCCTTCTCTCTTTCTCTCTATTTGACCTGTGAGTATTAGATTCTCCAGGCCCTCCTTCCTCATTTTGATTCCCAAAAACTTCAGCTGCATCTTTCTGATGTTAAGTATTAGCCTTCTCTTTGTTTGCAACCTCTCTACGATCTCATTGTTGCTCGCACGGTAGGTCCATGATATCCTTAACATCCTTCTGTAGTACCACATCTCTGTCGCCCCGAGTCCATCTTTGAGGAAATCGTCCAACATTCGCTGCCGTAAAGAAGGACAGAAGTCACGTAACAGCACAGTATTCTTTTCTTTGTTACCAAAGAAATCCTCTTGTCTCGCAATACTCTGCCCAGTGTTGAAGATGCCTATACTTAGTCAGTTATGTGCCATGTGTGATACACGCTTAGGCGATCATGTATCTTTTGATACATGATTGACGAGGCAGATTTTTTCCCACAGTAGGTTGCTATTTCTTTCTGCAGTAGACAGTTGCCATCCAAGGCTATAGAACCCGGTCTGTCCTACTATTTACCCATAGCTGGGGAGAGAAGAAGAAAATTAATACCTTTCCCAAGGGTATTAGCATATAAGCGAATGTTATGGATTTGACTGGAATTCGAACTCGTCTCTCCGATTTTTCAATCCGAGCCGCTATCCATTACTTACTAGCCGTAAACATTGCTCCTCCTCTTCTCTGTGTCTTCTATGTTGTATAGGTTGGCTATTTCTATGAAGGGCAGAATTTCCAGCCTAGCCATTAGGTCTATCCAATATAGCTCTACACTCATCATGGAAAGTGAGGGTTCAGTTTATATATTGAATGTAATATAGAATTGACCCCCACTACATATCCATAATTTCCTGTTTGTTTATCAAATTGTTGTATAGGTTGGCTATTTCCATGAAGGACAGAACTTCCAGCTGTCAATATTTACCGTCTTCTCTCAAGAACTTAATTAGTGAAAAAGTAAGGATTTATGGAGGACTATTGCTCATATGGTCTTTTGTATTGATTTGGTGTGAGGTACCCACCAAATTTTGTAAAAGTAGTTTTTGTTACAGTCTGTATAATGGACTCCACAAAATGTCGAACGTATTTCCAACTAATATGCTTATCCTTTTTTCTTTTTAATACTTTTTTCCAAACTGAAACTGACCATGCGTTAATAGTTCGCTTATTAGTCCAAATGTTATTTTGAATCGTGGTTTCGATCTTTACTGAATGCCATATCATTGAGATCTTGTTAAAAAAATCAAGCAGATTATATTCTCCCTTTTAATCATTTTTGTTTCAATTTGCGTTTAATTAGCATTAACAGAAATATATTTGCAATACTTATTTTACAACTGTTTGGTAGCAAAAACGAATATTGTAGTTTTGTTATTTTTAATAAATATCAAATCTAGAGACTAACACACACACACACACAAAAAGAAATAATTACTAATAGAAACGTCGACACAAAATCAGTTATAAAAAAAAACATCTTCTCCAGGCCAAAACAAAAAACTAACACAAAATGTGTGACATGAGTCGAAGAAAGAGAAAAAATACATCAGAACTAATAAAAATAAAAGTGTGAGAATGTCGATAATATTGATCTGCAGGTGTTTGGTTAATATTTCGAGACTGGTGTAGCAGCATATTCCCATTGCTAGAAGCTATACATTATACATAGTTTTACTTTTAAAAAGAATTTTATTTTATCGAGCATATTTCACTTTGAAGTGAATAACTGTCTTCCTCTTGCGAAATCAATTCCTAAAAGAATCTTTATTTCTCTCTTAAGTAATATTATCCCGTTTACTTGAGCAATAATAATGTATATTTTTTACACTGCTGAAATAATGATTTAAATGGAGAGACTTAGCCAGCAATAGAAATGTGAAATAAAAGACAGTTTTAGCATTATTTTTTTTATTCGTCTTTCAGCTTTTTTTCTTTTTCTTCTTTATTACAAATCTCAGATTGCCATTTTAAGATCGTTAAAAATGTATCATAGAAAACGTTTAATCTTTTGGTGAGATTTGGATTTGTAGCCTTCATCTTTTGAGAGACTGCATTTTCTGAGGCTATAAATGATTTACCAGTAGACGCCATTCAATATAATTCCATTCATTTCCTCAGAAACCTCACTATGCCGCCATGTTGCTTTGTTAATTTAAGCTTATGATATTAAGTTAAAAGTATCCGTGAACATTGAACGGTTTTCATATGTGAATTTCCTTTGAATGATTATTCTTAAGCAAATAATCGAATAAGCTTGTTGCAAGTTTTATGACTATGAAAAACTACTTGAAAGATTGCATCAATAATTATTTGAGTTTAACAACTTTAGCCAAATATTTGCTAGAACAATCATAAGTATGAGTGCGGATTACATACGTAAAGAAGGAAATGGGTACAAATGAAAAT